AATAGTGTAGAACATACATGTTTACATTATTTCTCTATTTTTGACAACTTCATCATCAGTGTTCTAGTAGTCAAGGGATTAATGCTAGGATTCTGATGTGATCTTAAGACCTTAGTAATTAATGCATGTATTAAGAAAGGAATCACCAAGGGATTGGGGTTTCTGATTAATGTGTCTATCAGGGTAGTAAGGGATTACATCTTGAGATGATAAGAAAAAGGTTGATCAACATCACATAGTAGATAATTCATAATGGAAATTGGTTCATCTATAAATTCATGTTTGAGGAAAAATGACATCTGACTACTTGTTTACATTATAATTTACATTTTCTTTATTTATCAAGTTTTAATTCAATTCAGTGTAGTTTCTAGTGACAAGAAATCTATGCAATCTATGAACTTTTGTTTGATTCAACTCAAGTACATATGGTTAGTCAGTGCTTGACACAAATCCTCGTAGGAACGATCTTTACTCATCATTTTATTACTTGTACGACTAGTGCACTTGCTAAACGTCCAACAAGCAACCAGATGATGTGGAAGTTCGGGAGAACTTCAAAACTCCCGTCGGACCACTCAAGATTCTCGATCGTGGCGAGAAGAAGTTGAGGAGCAAGATCATTCCGATGGTCAAAGTGCAGTGGACAGGAAGAACTCTTGAGGAGTGTACTTGGGAGCGAGAGGACGAGCTTCTCCGGAAGTATCCCGACTTCTGAGACAGATATATTCTGATTTTGAGGGCAAATTCCTAAAAAGGTGGGGTGAATGTAAGAACCCGCACCGTTAATTAAGCAAGTTAATTAATTAATTTTGAGAAATTAGGAAATAATTCCATAATTGACCCTAATAATTATTATGAGGCTTAAATAATTATGGTAAGTGAGTAATAATGTTGAAAGTCGCTTTTCTGACGAAAAGTGCAGATACCGGTTCTGGTCCTCGATATAAATGCGTACCGAGGAAGTATTCCGAAAAATTATAATAAGTGCATGAATATTCCTAGAATAATATATAAGACTGTGATTTCAAGTTTCAAGTTAAAATAATGAGAACTGACGACACCGACACGAGACACGGGATACGACACGACACGACACTCCGATACCTTAATTCTAAAAAATGTTAAATTTCGACACGTTAGGACACATTTTTATATTACATAATATTTTTAATTTATGAGTGTATATTATATTTAGTATTCAATAATTTAAGAAAAAAATAAAACTAAACTTATAATACCAATCAATTTTGCAAAGAAACATAATACATCTCAAATGTTTATATTAAACTCAATAAAATCGTAATCGTAATCTAACGAATCTATTAGTTGGAACTCAAAATGCAACGCAACGTAACTTTTGAACTTTGTTTTGAGTCTTTGCAACGAGTATTGGAGTGTCGGGAAGTGTCGGAGTGTCGGAAAGTGTCAGACACGACACGTCAGGATTTTTGAAGTGTCGGTACTTCATAGAGAATCGGTGCCAGAACTGATACTGGCTATGGAAAAGCGCGTACCGGAAAGGTGCTGCGAAAAATAAAATAAAAATATGATAAATCTTAGAAAAATGAGTAGGTTCAGATTCCAAAGTTTGAGATTAAAATGCTAAGCGTAACTATTAATGCTAATACTGTGTGTTTAAGACTTAAACCACTATAAATACTCATATTTGGCTCTAAGCCCTAGGCCATATCAGTTTTCTACGTGACTCCTTGGGTGGCTGACCAGCTAAACACTGTTCCATTGCTTCCTCATCCATTTTGTGAGCATTGTGACCTCTTTTCTTCCATTTCTCTTCACTTATTACCTTGTGTGAGTGAGAGGGATCATTGTGAGTGTGAAAGGGGGCTCTTTTCTGGTTGCTCAGCCACTATTTTTGGTTGTTGTGGGGCTGAGTTTCTTTGTTTGGGTGTTGGGGGCCATTTCCTTGGTTGTGGGAGCTCCAAGGAGTGATCTTTGGTACAAAGAATCAACCTTTGATCTCCATCTTCGTATCTTGGAGAAGTCAGAACTGTGGGGACTTGGTGGTTAGCTCCAAGAGCACTCCTTTTCTGAGTTTGAACCTTGGGTAAGTGTTACCAACCTTTGATCATGAGATTTAATGGTTAAAAGTGAAGTCTTGGCATGTATAATGAGTTGTTTAAGTAACCAACACTTATGTGAACCTGTATGTGCCTAAAAATAGAGTTTTGAACGTTTGTATTTGGTAAAAGTTGAACCTTTGATGGATATCTTCGCGAAATGCAGAATCTGCATTCTGTCGCGAAATATCTGGATATGGATATCCGGATATTGATATCCGGATATGGGGTCTTGTGATATCCAGATATTGATATCCAGATATTGCCCCGACAAATATCCGAATATTCTGGGTTTTCAAAGAATAGTAGCTGCATTGTTCATGCAGAATGTTGTTATGGGTTTGTGGACCCTAGTTTGATGAAGTGGGACTTCTGTAATAATTAAACTAAGTCAGAATCAAGTGATTAAGGGCTTGTGGCTTTGTGAGAAGCCTTAAGACATGAAACGTAAAAGAGAAGCGTTGTCTTTATGTATATGCTTTTGAGCTATGGTTGTTGATATGATTGCTGGTCCGAAACAGATTGTGATTCTACTGTGTTTGGGCTTTGAGCTTGTGTGGACTCTTGGCTTGGATAGCTAGCTTGCAAGGTAAGCTTTCGTGTCCTCGGTTTAGCCATTGTTTGTTCCACCATGTCCCATGGGGGGATGGTTATATGCATGATGTGTTTTCATGTACTGTTTTATTGAAATCCTATTGAGTTGTTAAGTGCAATTGCTTTATGATATGTATGTGGTGTTTCGCCTAGCCAGGAAGCCATGGGGTGGTCCTGGGGGCAGGTACAGCATGGGCGTGTACTGTGTGGGTAATAGACGTATTCCTGCACTTCTCTGATCAGTAGAATAGTTATAACACACATGACATGATTATCTGCTGTATTGCACTGTTTTGGAACTTATACTGTTTAACTGCTTTTGGAACTTATATTGCACATGTAAGTGAGCTTGGGGTGGAAGATCCTTGAGGACCCCCTGTCTTACTTAAAATTCTTTTTAGAGATCTCACCACACGTTTGGGGCACTTATTTCAGGTTCAGGTAATGCGGGGGTTGAGACCTCTAGCGGCAGGAGACCGGAGCTTAGTTGATTGATATTTATCTGTTATACTGATTATGCTGAGATGCTGGATATGCATGTTGCTATTATGTTTTTAGCTTTACTATTATGTTGTTGTGGTTGAGACTTGCTGGGCTTGTTGCCTTATTTGGTGAGCATGGGGATTTTTCGTGCCACGTTGATTGACTATGTCCTATCTTAGATTTGAGTTGTATTAATGTATCAGGATTATGGTCCGGTCTACGTGTTGTAGTTCCGTGACTTAGATACTCACTTTTATTTATATATTGAGGTTATTTCAATATAGATAGCCGTTTAATTGCAATTACATACAGGCGATGTTTTATGAAAAGGATTAAGTAATTAATTTGGTAATATTAATGACGTCATAATTGAAAGTAAAAAGTTATTCCACATTTTAAATTAAGTGTGGCTTAATACGATGACATATTAACAAACTGGGTATACACGGGGTGTTACACGGTCAGTCCCATGAGCTGTCTCATCAAGCCATGTCTTGTCTTGAGACAGGATATGCTGCCCACTGTCAGTGTACAGGGGCAGCACCGCAGCAGTGCAGGGAAAAGGAATGGCCCAATGGTGAGCCTCTATGGCTTGCTATGGGTGCCCTCTAGGAGGCTCTAGATTTGGGCTTTAAGAGATTGGACCTAACTGATGGGTCTAAGGTGAGTATCCAAAATAGAAGCCCCCCAGCTTTGTAGCTTGAAGGAGTTAGGGTGCCAAGATGTATGACAGCTTAGGCCGGTTACCCGTAGTGTGCAGTGTTCCAAGCAGGATACAATATAACCGATCGGTAATACGTCAACCTTCATGTCTTGTTTGTTTGTTGTCATCAAGTATGAATTGTCTGGTTGACAATGTTTGAGTGCTTCAAGAGAATTTTCTATTCTGGCTTGCAATTGTGTTGTGAAGCCCCCCCAGCTTGGTAGCTTGCAGAGTCAGGGTGCCAAGATGTGTGGCAGCTTAGGCCGGTTACTCGTAGTGTGCAATGTTCCAACCAGGATACAATTTAATCGATCGGTATTACGTCGGCCTTCATGAGTTGTTTGTTTGTTGTCATCAAGTATAGATTGTTTGGTCAGCGATGGTCGAGTGCTTCAAGAGACTCTTCTATTACGGCTTACAATCGTGTTGTGTTGAACTTGTGTTTACAACCGGAATAAAAATGTCTTGATTATCTGATAAAATAAAGTCGACAGAATTAGATATCCGAGCTTTGTGAGAAAATAATGTTGTAGATGAAAGCTTCTGTAGAGGATAATGTGTTCCAAAATAGAGAGTGATAGAGATTCTCAGATAAATATATATATTCCCTTCTTCAGCAATAAAACATGTTGGTGATATGAATGTATGATAAATAACGTCCATGTTGAATCAAACAGCTTGAAGATTTTAACAGCTGAAATATAGATGTCTTGACCATCTGATAATGATAAAATAATGCTGACAGATTTGTAGATGCAAGCTTCTTGAGAAAATAATGTTGTAGAGAAAATCTTCTAGAGAGAATAATGTGTTCCAAGAGTGTGAGGTAATGGAGATTTTAATGATAAATATATATATTTTCTTTTTCAACAATAAAACTCTAACATCCATGTTGAATCAAACAGCCTGAAAATTTTAACGACTTGGAATAAAATCAACACAATAAAACACGCGATGCATCTCATGCCACACAAGTCACACACAAGACGATGTGCGGTTTAAATTTGCACATTATCATTTTACTCGAATTAAAAAACTTGCAAAAAAAAATAAAAAATTAAAACTTAACATGTCTTGCATTTTGCATAAAAGAAAAAGAGAAAGAAAAAGAAAAGTCAAAAAGACCGTTAAGAAACTGCGGGTGCTTCTAGGTACACCACGGACACTCTCGTCTGCGACAGTAACCAGCAACCAGTGGCAACTTGTTTTCAACGCTAACTAAGATTGCTTCGTTCTATTCTATCCATACCCAAAAATCATGATATTCGTTGATGGGGTTCCATTCTCTCGACATTCATCCTCGTCATCTCAGGTTTCTCTTTCTTCCTTTCTCTCCCTTCCCCCTCCTTTTTTTTTTTACCCCAATTATCCATTTGTTTTCATGTGATCATTATTATTATTATTATTTGATTATTTGACATATATCATTATAGGCGTTCTAGGAGGGGACTTGTTTTGTTTAGATTACACATTCGTTAACTTATAATTGAAATATAGTTTAGTTTGTTTTTATTACTATAGGAGGGAAGGGTTCATTTTCACGGATCTTACTTGATTGAGAGGAAGCTTAAGCTTGGAAGAAAAGTGAAACTGAGACCCGTTTCATACTTTCATTAAGATGTGGGGATCAGGACTCAGGAGAGAATTGAAAAAGGGATAACTTAATCTTCTTTATCAAATATCTTTATAAAGAACCAATTCAACTCAAAACTTCAAGGTGTTGGGTGAGCGCTTTTTTAATGGTTTATATTATTTTCTAACAATCTTTATTATTTGTTAAAGATGTGATTTAAAACCATTCACTAGTCATGAACCATCTCTCCCAAAAGCTTAAACATGTGTCATGTACCAAACCATTGGCTCAGATATGGTATAGAATTCGATTTTGTTGCCTCCAATCTTCTAATAAAAAGTTGAATTTTAGTACAAGGTAGGTGGGTTTTGCATTCCAAGGTCACATTCATGTGTGTTCACCTAACAAGTTAAGCTTTTGGGAGAGTTGGTTCATGACATTATTTATTGGATGGATTGGACCAAATTTGTGGCTGTTTTTGTTTTCTGGTACCACTGGTCTTTTATTTAAGGATGTGGCTAACTCCATTAGTTTTGTTGAGAACAAGATCTAAGGTGGAAAAAAGGTGAAGGCATGGACATATTGGGTTCATGTGCTTAGACTTATCATTTGACCTTCTACACTTAGGACCTCATATCTACAAATTGCCATGTACTTCAAGTTTTTTTTTAAATAAATAAGGCTAACTTATATCTCAAAGGGAAGGAATTATAGAGAGCATGCAATGATGTAACTTATTATTTCTCATGCTATGTGTCAAAGAAGAGCTCTCGGAAAAATGCATGATCTTGTGAGTTATTCCTTGAACAAATGTGAATCACCTTGCAAGTATAAAACTGATTTTAGAATCATTCAATAAACACGTGAAATGCCTGACTTTCTGTAATTCTGAACAGGGAATGGAATCGGATATTCTACTTGCTTTGTTGGAAAATCCCATTCTGTTATCTGTCTCAAACAGTTTGAAGGCTAACCCGGAGAGGAAGTTCTCAGTGTCTGAAGAGTCTAGTCCAGAGAGACCAAAATGGGTTTATATATTCCAAAGAGAATATGCTACTGTTGACCCGGTATTTGTCGATGTATGTAACTTTTTAACCCTTTGTAATGTCATTAAGCTAATATCTATTACTTCAAAAGTTCAAATGTAAACATTTCCCCTTTTCTTTTGTGATGTGCAAGTGATAATGCATGTTGAATTGTAAATTTAATTTTAAATTAGTTCATTTTGGCATGCAACTAATAATTGAATTTGAGCACTTCACACTTAGTTGGACTGTAAATGATATTGTATGTGGAATTTCTTTTTCCTATCCTGAATGGTCCATGGGTTCTTCCTTGCGTGCTATCCTGTACATTTTTTGCATATGTATCTTTGATCTTTTACTTTTATTTGGGCTCCTGTTGGCCTTCCTTCGTTTTTGTTAGAGAAACTGATACAAGAAATGTGAGCAAAAGGTGAGAGACTCTCTTTAAAATATGTTGATATGGTTTATGTTTCTAACTTTTTAATTAAATCAGTAACTCCAGTATGATTGCCAATTTACATTTCAATTATTGTGGTGGGTTTGACAGTTCTTCTTTTGACATAGTATTTATGTTCTTTCTTCTCCTCTTTCCACATCACTAGTTTGTTGGCACTGATGAAGCAACAACGTGTGTTGGCCTTGTTATTCGGAACCAAAGGAATGGAATGTAAGGGTTAAGGATTGGTTTTGGTTACTACATAGATGAGAAGTCCACTATATATTGAGTTTTACATATGTTCTTTCTGCTTAGTGTTTAATTTCTGATTTTATTAATTTTAATTTAATACTGCAGGACATCAGTTGCTCATATGGATTCACCAGAAATTGTAGAAATGGGCCTCTCTCAAATGTTATCACTACTTGTTGAGGGCAGTTTGGAGGCTGAATTTGATGTGCGTCTCCTTTTTTTATTTTTTATTTTTTTGTTTCTACTTTCTAGTGATTTTTTTTTTTGTCATTAGTCTCTTTAATGACTCCTTTATGGTTTGCTTTATTAAAAATTTGTAGGTGCATCTAATTGGGGGTTATGAAGATATTTCCTTGCAAGTCTGATTGGGTCTTCTACTTTGTTAGTGAATTTTCAAAATGTAGTTTCCTCTAGAATAGTTGGTGTTTAATCTGTTAAACTTTTGTGCAGCATGCTAATGGTAGCACTGTATCAGAAAGCCATACAGATTTGGATGGTTATTCCTTTCCTTTGTGTTCAAAGATTGTTCACACTTTATGGGCAAGAGAGGAGAAGTTTCACATTCAAACTATCTGTGTTCTTGGACATAATACCAGAAGAGATTCTGATGGAAATGCTTTCCCTTTTCTCAATGGATTTATGGTCAGCTCCTGCTTTCAAATCTTGTTATTACATCTGATTCATATACAATATTTGATAAACCTTGTTGAAGTTATAAGGTTTTAGATAAGGAAAAAGAATACTCAGAATAATAACATTATATTAATATTGGTGTTAAGGATGTGATCTGATGTGATTAACAAAAGAAGAGGATGCATAAATGTGTCGAATTCAACTGTAACGAGTGGATTAGAGAAGGGATGTATTTATAGTAAACATAGTTGATCATCACAAAAGAATTACTAATAATCTTATTGATTAGGTGTGACAGGCATTGTAAAGATTGAGAAAGAGAGAGAAAGAATGCTGTATTCTGAAACTGGTGATTACAAGAGGAAGAATCCTCTTACAAGGATGTCCCTTTCTTCCAATTGAGAATGTCTCAGTTTCAGTTATTTGCCCCAAAAGATCCCTTCCCATTACAATTTCACCTATTTAACACCTAACCTCTTAAATGTCACTGTAGCCACCTCTTTCCAACCTCCTTCTGGTTGTTCCTCCTTGAATATACCCTCCAAACCTTAATCTCCTTATTAAGAAATAATACCACCAGTTGAAGGATTACCTTGTCCTCAAGGTTAAAGCCTGGAAAGAACCTGTTCCACCTGCTCCCCATGCCTTGTAATAGCCCCAACACCCAAAATCCATGCCAAAGAGTAGAGTACTGCATCCTCTTGCATGTCCATTGGAAGTGTATCCTCCACGGGATGATTCCTCACTGCCTTCTTATGCTGAGACATGTGAAAAACTGTGTATCCAAGCTTGAGGAGGGAGTTGAGGGTGGAATATAACTAGACCAATTTTTCTAATCAACACATAAGGGTCATTGTAGCGAAACCAGCTTAGGATGCAAACGGGTAGGCATAGAGCCTTGGCAGTGAGGTCTAACTTTCAAATAAACTCAATCCCCTTGCTGAACCGTGGATGGTTTCCAGTGAACAATTAGCTAGCATATGGGATTGAGCTCAGTTCAAATGGAATTTTAGTTTCCTCAATGCCTCTTTCTTATCCATCAAGTCTTGTGCCATTGCCTCCACCAAGGTTTCTCATAGGATAAACCCGAAAGAGATGGCAGAGGCATGTTTAGCATTATCAATTAATTATCCATCATCAATAGAAATACATGTTTAGAATTTTCATCAATCATCAACAGAAATACTCATTTTGTTCCCGCATTTTGAAATTTTGTATAACATCAACAGAGGCATACTATGCTTGAATCATTAATAGACTACTTGAATGATCTACATAATGACGGAATATGCTCACAGACATTTCTTTCTACAACAAGTGGATCAGTTTTGATGTATTAGTTATTAAAAAATGCATATTAATATTGGGTAAGAATTTAATGGTATACAGGAAATCAGGAATCCATGAGCAAGCTACTGAGGATCATTACAAATCATAGTATCCATGGAAACCTCTTGTTAGAACAGACAATAATATCTGAGTTTTAAAATTATATACACATATAGCATGGTGAAAGCACTTATAGTAACATGATAAATTTTTGGTTTCAACGGCTTGGCAAAACCAGTGGTCTTTTTTGGTGTGATAGTTACATGCATAGTCAAACCGTTAAGTGGGATTCTGACTTCTTACATCCTATGCACCATTTCAGGTGGAGACTAAAACAGGAATTGTCATCCCAGCAAGTTTTGATAGAAGTTCTAGATGTCCAGATGAAATTGTCAGAAGAATAAGAGTATCTACTTCTTATGATGATAGCAGTTGGAACGGGAAGTTACTAGAGACATATGATTCTGTCACTGACCGGTTCAAAATTGCTCCTTGTCTCTGGTAACTTTTGAAGTTTCATGAATTCATCTTCAAGCCCTACATGTAAAAAAATTCTTATGAACCCAATGCAGAAATAAAATAGAAGAATAAATTATTTACCAAAATAAAAATAAAAATAGAAGAATAAATTGTGCTAGGCCATGCATATTGGTGAAAATAGTTTTCTTATTTGGAAGGAATGGTATTATATCTTTTTTCCATGGTTGATGATCTTTATATATTGATGCATGTAATCCTCTTTTCCATTCTGTTAAACTGATGCTTCTTGGCCCCTTCTTATTTAGGACTCTTCGCCAATATGATATTGCTTTGTCACTACAGCATTATTCTGATTCAGAAATTCTTTCAATCTGTTCTACCTCACCTACTGCTGAGGGCCCAGATTTTGTGGATAATTTGAGAAGGTAAAACATATGGTTGATTCTGATTTAAATGTATCAAGATATTATCTTATTTCAAAGATGGATATCAGAATTTTTTGAATTATTATTTTATATTTCTGTAAGCAATCCTTTATATATAACTAAAATTATTCAAAGGGTGAAATGGTACCTTGACAGGCCTGCATACCTAATTGAACTGTCAAATTTATAGTTGTAGTTTCTATTAAAAAAAAAAAACTTGTCGCTGCAACTGGTGAGGTTGGTTTCCCTTGTGTAATCTCAATTTTAAAACTTCAAACTCTTTGATTTATTTGCCTTAATTATTCCTCATCTCTCTTCAATAACGAGAGGACGAGCCTTGAAAAAACGGTAAGGTTGCTTCTTATGAACGGAAGATCACATGATCGAGTCTAAGAAACAGTCCCTTTACAAAAAAATGCAAGAGTAAAATTGCATACTCATCCTTATCCTCACAAGTCGGGGAGCCTTGTGCACCGGGCTTTTCCCTCTCTTCAATGATGATGTTGAAATTCAAACATTGAGTAACCATTTTCACATTTCATATATCTGGAACTGATTTTCTTCTCTGATATATTCTCTAGCTGCACCCGAGAGTTTTTGCAACATTAGAATCGTTTGTTTGTTTGTTTGTTTTTATGCATATCTGAGCACACTACTAGACTGATATCAAAATATATGTACAGTACATTGTTTATTAGAAACTCAAGTTTCTATAAATATAAAATGAGATAATGATCACATTTCCCATCTTCAGGAAGTGGAATTATTTGATTGAGCATCCACACTGGATAGAAACTTTTCCCAAGAAACAGCCTCGCATTTTTTCAAGGAGTTCTGATGGAAGGTGGAGAAGGTGTTGATGACAGTCTAAGGTTGCTCGGGCAAATCCTTTTCAATAATTAGATTGTCGTCTTATTGAAATGTTCATCTCATTAGACGTTTCATTTGTCTTTTTAGCTATAAGTTATCAAATTGCAGTTAACTGTTTTAGATTGTTGTCTTAGTATTTATTATTAGAACCATAACTAATATATTACCCGTGCGATTGCACGTCGGAAAAAAATTTGATTTGTTTGTTTCGTAAAAATTAATGCAAATCACAAAAGTATTTCGCTGCCTTTTATTTAAATCAACACTATGAGGTACCTAACTCCAACTTTTTGTACATGTAGTAGTATATGACAATGGCCAATCAAATTCAGAAAATCACGCAATACATGAAGAAGAAAAATTTAAAAGTTGTGCTTGACATCAAGATAATAATAATGAAGATGGTCCAGCCTGCACTTGCAAAAATGATAAAACTCATTTAACAATGCACTTTTGATCCTTGCTCTTGCTGGAAATAAATGATAAACAATCTATAAATAAAAGTGTCAAATAAATAAACATGTATATACCAAGCATAAATGTGCAGTCATGTCGAATAAATACAAACTGCAATCAATAGTGTGCTATTTGTAAATCTACACAGTACACATAAATGCATAGCAATTGCATATTGATTTTACATGGATGACTATCAAAGGGAGGACAATACATTTAGCATGTATAAATTTGTTATCTCACCATATTTCTCAAAATGACAGTGCGGGGAAAAAAAGAAATTTTGTTTAGATGCTTGTTTCTGAAATATTTACAGCAGTAAATCCAATGATCTTAGTCATACAAAGACGGGTTTGTTAGACAATAAATATAGAGGTACTTGAGAAAGATGCTTTTAGATACCTGAGATCTATTTTGCAAAAAGGTGGAGAGATTGATGAAGATGTAAATCATAGAATCAAAGCAGGGTGGATGAAATGGCTTAGTGCATCTGGGTTTTTGTGTGACCGCAAAATCCCCCTTAAGTTAAAAGAAAAATTCTATAGAACAGCAGTAAGGCCTGCAATGCTATATGGAGCTTAATGTTGGCCAACACATAAGCAACATGAACATAAAATGAGAGTAGCAGAGATGAGGATGTTAAGATGGATGTGTATATGAGAATGGATAAGATAAGAAATGAAGATATTCGACGAAAGGTAGGAGTACTACCAGTGGCTGAAAAGATTAGAGAACATAGATTGAGGTGGTTTGAGCACGTAATGAGAAGGTCCCTAGATGCTCCCGTAAGAACAAAAGTCTGTTAAACAAGACTTAATAGAGTAGGATATAGATTGGCGGACGGTGTGCCTTAGAACGGAATGGAGAAGAGCTATAAGCATGGTGGAGGGTTAGACCCGTTGTTATTCCTATGTTCCAAATGGTTCCTTTTTATTCATTTTCCTCTTTATTTCCCCGTCTTCTTCTTCTCCCCTTGTTTTATTACTTTTATATTTAAATATATATGTATATATTATTACTATTTTATTTATTTATTTTTATTTTATTATATTATATTATTTTTTATTTTTTTATTTTTTTATTTTTAACCTTTTCGTATCTTTTATTTGGGTTCATCTACCACCGACCCCAATTAATTTGGGATAAAAGTGTAGTTGATGTTGATGTTGATATTGATATATATATATAACGTGTTGGCGGGTGGGGAGGGCTGGCCGGTGCCCATTTTGCCACCTCTAACTGTCAGCCCTTAATATCAGCATGTAATAGGTTTTTATATTTATCCACACACAAAAATTCTTATAGTTGGTTTAGATTACTATCCATCTATATTTTCTATTTTTTTGGAGATATTGTAAACTATCTATATTTTCTATAGTTGCCTCTAAATCGATTATCTGAGGTGTGTGTATTTGTGACATATATATTAGATGAAGAGTTGACAAATATTTGAGTTAGTACGTTCAATATTCTAACAAACACTTCATAGTTGAAGTTGAATGTAGTAAGATCAAAAGACTATTCATTAGCTTAATTGCAAAAATATAAATAATTATTCACAAAATTAACATATATATAAGCATATATTTAATTTAGGGGTGTCAAAACGGGTCGACACGACACGAATTTGACACGATACAAATATATCAACACTAACACGACACGAATTTTTATTCGTGTCTAAATCTTCAACACTGACACGACACGAATTTTTTGCGGGTTGACATGACACGACAAGAATAACACGCAAAATAGGGGACAAAATGGTAATTGACAAAAAAAATTTAAAAAAATGGATCGATATTAAAAAAAAATTAAAAAAAATACAGGTCAACACGAACACGAATACATCAACACGAACACGATACGAATTTTTTACGTGTCATTTTTCCCAACACGAACACGACACGAATTTTTTTGCGGGTCAACCCGAACACGAATTTTCGTGTCGTGTCGCGGGTCGACCTGCGTGTCAAAACCTATAATGACACCCCTAATATAATTCATCGTATTTAATCTTAATAATACTTCAACTCTACCAACAATAACTTGGTGAAAAATATGAAAAGTCAACTACTCACTTAGTTGGAAACAACTAATCATAAATAGCATTAAAATAATGATATAATGCAAAACATTGAATAGTCGTTCCTTTTAATTAAGTAATTAATAAGAATAATATTTTTTTAATTCAAACGAGACTCTTCTCCATGTATAAAGTTCTATACTTGTGGGCTTAGTGATTACTTGACTGTCCATCAAACTCTGCAAAGACATCTTGTTTGATCCTTCGATATAAAATGCAAATGCCATTGTATTAGCTTGTCCTGTAGTCATTCAAAAATTACGTAGTTTGACTCGGCTTCTTTTAGTATTTCTCAGCCATGGACTTTCATTTATCACAATATGATTGTTCAATTTGTTTAGATGCTCGTTTATGAGATATTTACAGCAGTAAATTCAATGATCTTAGCCACATAAAGATGAGTTTGTTAGACAGTAATATAAGGGGGAAAATTGTGTTAGGGGGCGAACCTGCCCGTTTGGCGAGCGGGGTGGGCTGGCCTTCAGGGCCAAGCCCATTTTGTTACATCTAGCTGTCAACATTTTATATCAGCATATAATAAGTTTTTATATCTATCCACACAAAAAAGTTCTTATAATTGCGTTTAGAATACTATCTATCTATGTTTTCTATAGTTAGACAATAAACATAAGAATAGATATAAAAAAAATATTTGCGGGCTGGGTAGGCCGGCCCTCCGGGCCCAGCTCATTTTGCCACCTTTAACTGTCTGCATTTTATATAAGCATGTAATAAAATTTTATATCTATCCACGCAAAAAAAGGTTCTTATAGTTGCATTTAGATTACTATATTTCTATGTTTTCTATAGTTAGACGGTAATCATAAGAGGGGAAAATTGTATTAGCGAGCGAACTGCCCGTTTGGCGGGCGGGGTGGGCCAGCCTTCAGGGCCGAGCCCATTTTGTCACCTCTAACTATCAGCTTTTTTTTTAAGCATATAATAGGTTTTTTTTTTTTTTTTTTTTATAACAATAGGTTTTTATATCTATAAAAAAAAGGCTCTTATAGTTGCGTCTAAATTAATATTTATCTATATTTTCTATAGTTAGACAATAAATATAAGAAAAAAAAACGTGTTGATGGGATGGGCTAGCCCTCTGGGCCGAGCACATTTTGCCACCTATCGTCAACATTTTGTATAAAATGTAGTATCATTAAATATTAAAGCTACTTTTTTTTAGGTTTTAGTTTTTTATGAAAAATTATTTAATTATTATAAGCTCCTAAACATATTTTTTAATTAAAAAACACCTTTATAATTTGTTAAATTATTTTATTGAAGAAACACTCTTTAAAATATCAAAGGAGGCACTTTACAAAACGTTTTTGTAAAACTCAATTCACCCCCCCTCCCCTCTGTGCTTGTGTGTTGAAGCCACTTGTCCAACAAGAATAAATATTATTAATAGGCTTAACAATTTTTGAAATAGAAAGTAGTGAGAAACATACATAGAAGGCTGTACACATTCTCCAACTAATAGCTTCTAGTTATTCTTTCACGACATATGAAATTGTGTTAATTACAATCTTATATCAAAAGAATAAAATTGAATTTTTATAGTGATTAAATATTTATAATTTGTTTTTTACTGAATGATATTGTTAATTTTAATTTTTTTATTTAAATTTAAAATTTATATTCTTTTGTATTAATTATACATATTTTTAAAATTGATTATACACATATATTTAAAATGTTTAAGTTAATTTCTTTTAAAGAAATTGTATGGAATTTTTTTTTTCTCTTTTTGTATTATTTTTTTTAGAGTAAACACACTTTTTGGTCCATGGCAATTTCTACGAAATCCTTTTTAGTCCCTGGCAATAAAAAAGGACCAAATTGGTCCCTAACAGTATGTAAAAAGGGCCACGTTGTGACGGAGGAGTTGACATAAGGACTAATGTGGCCCTTTTTCATAATTTTAGGGACCAATTTGGTCCTTTTTTATTGCCAGAGACTAAAAAGCATTTCGTAAATATTGCCAGGGACCAAAAAGGGTATTTACTCGTTTTTTTAAGTTAAATTTTTAATTTATTTTATTTTAAAATATCAATATTTCATTTTTTATTTTTCAATTAAATTTCAAATTTAAATTATTTTTTATCAACTATACATATATTTTTATAATTTTAAATATTTTTTCGTTTAATCTATAATTTAATATTAAATTTAAATTTATTATATAAATCCTTTTTCCAATTTTATAAGTAATCCTAATAGGTATAATAATTAAGCTAAATAGACATAATAATAAATATTACTAATGAGTTTAACAATTCTTAGAATGTTGAACTCTTTTTCCATGGATTCTTCGAATGTGGATGATAAGTAAGTGGGGGTAAATGTGGGGGTTTCGATAGCATAGATCATTTAATGATGCTTGGACCTTACTTGCTTCCAAAAATATGATTTACATCTAACATGACCAATTGATACCATGTCTGTGACATTATAAGATAAAATATGGGGAATCATAATTATGCAAAGATGGATGAAATCATTAAATGTAGTGAATCAATGGTCAAGATTAAGTGTTGTACATACAGCAGCTGCAAAAATGATTTTACCATATAGGGGTTTATATTTCTGCAGCTGCTGTACGTGCAGCAATCAAATACTTG